TGCTATGTTAATTTTTATTATATTTTTAGCATACACATTATATCAGATGCATTAAAAAGGACATGGAGGTACTACTCTTGAAGGATACCTAACTGAATTGATTCACAAAATCTATCTTCAAACGAGTAAAGCAAGCAACGAGTAAAGTGGACAATACCTTGGAATAAATAAATTAAAAAAAAAGAAGAAAGTACACATCCACCTTAACAATTAACGTTTTAAAAATAGAAAAATAAAACTCATCTTTGTTCTTATACTTGAATATAAAGTGTAAACAACACCATAACTGTTACTAGGCCAATGGCATACGTACACATCGAAACTGACAGCATCACTGCCGCACCGCCAAATTCCTACTATATGATTCGTCATTGCAACACTAACGGCAAAATTGTCTAATGTAAATAAAAAACCTTAGTCACATTAACCGGTTTCGGTTACTCTAATGGCTCAAGTGTTTCTCTTACTTATACAGAGAAAGTTTGTCAAAATGTTGTAGGTACTTTCTCAAAAATCGGTTAATATTTTTACCGTAAAGAGGTATATTGTGTGCACTATATGAACACTCAGCTTAAGTAAAGTACCTACTTACTCAATGTTGGCGTTTAAACCACGAATGTGTTCGAAAGATTTATTTGAAATTTTGAGACAATCCAACAGGTTTTTACCTATTTGAGAAGTTACATTTGTTTTTTAATGGAAAATGAAAAAAAATACTGACGAATTGAGAACCTCTTCTTTTGTGTTTTTGAAGTCGGTTAAAAAAAATCGAACTTTAAAATACTCAGAATAACAAGACGAATCAAAAATACAAAGTACTTGTTTAATAAAAACGTAATTTGTAACTTCTTTTATTTTACTATAAAATTTTATAATTATAAAATACATTTTATTTTAAGTTAAAAGATAAAACGTAACCCTGATGACTTGACATTCTGACTCGATCTGTCGTGAATTTAAACTAAGATAAGAGAACGTTTTTGCGTTCTTAATTATATACATATTAAGTTAGTTAATACGCTCAATTAACTATTTTTAAGAGCAGCTTTTTTAATATATAATTCTATCGTTCATATTCCATATAGTTACAAGCCTAAACTAAAACCTAAACGAATACTATATACGGTTCCTTGGTTCCTTTTAAGTAAAATTACATCTAAGCGATTAAAACATTTAAAGTTGCACTGCGCAATTTATTAACAATACTAATCTTTTTAATGTGTAACTACTAGTCCCTCCACCAGCGCTGAACGCAGAGTGAGTGACGTTATCGGAGACCTAGACCCATCCATCCCCTTAGTTTTAGGGGAAGAAGGGGGGCATTCAAAGGATGACAACGCACTTATACGCGACAGTAGTCACATCAAACGAAAAACAAACTAGAACTAATCATTGCAAGTTTCTGAATAAGGAGGAATGTCGGGGTTCCAGGGATTTTCACCTGGTTCCCCGGCTACTGGTACCCGAGACGGCGTGCGGTTTTCATTCCCCACATAACCACCGGTGGGTGGTATCCAAGGGGATTGCCGCACAGACAATAAAAAAGGAGGAATTATGGCTTTGGCGCACATTGCACAAAACAACGGACTGAAATAGGCTGATTAAATAAACTTAACAACTACTTTAGGACTAAAAATTTTATCTAATTTTTCATACTCATGATTCACACTGATGAACGATTTCCGTAAGCTTTATTGTTATCAAAGTATAAATAGACGAGTTTATTCTCATGACTAAAGTCTGACTAAAGTTGATGAAAATCCAGTTGGCGCCGTTTTAAATACTTTCAGACTTCCTTCCGGTTAAATGGTACCTACGTCGCGTTGCCATTTCGAGCAATGCCTATCTTATCTTACAACTGTCTATGGCTGTGTCAATTAAATTATATGTCATAATTAGGCATTTTGGAATAAAACTTTAACATTCGTAACAATATGCAACACAATACAAATATTCTGCATCCTTCTTCTTCTTACTCGGCTACTCATATACACTGTGAAGCATGTTGTTAGGATGCGCGCTGCACTAAAGCTCCCCACTTGTCTTTTTCTGCTTATAGGCGGACGTTTTCATTGCTGTCCTATTGCTCAGGGCTTTAATCTGGTCATTTTTTGATATTATTTTTGATATATTAAATCACCTCGGAAATTATGTGGACTTATTGTAACTAATACTCGGAAAAATTAAAATTATTAGTAAGGTATAGGCTGATTCATTTTACATTTCGCTATGTCAGGATAAATACTTTTTATGTGGGCAACAAAAGAGGTTAGTGTAACATGGTAAGGTTTAATAACTTTATTGGAATAATGAATGTACATATGCACACAGTGCAACTTCAACACCGTACGTGAGTCAAGTCAAACTGTCTCTTTGTGAGTCACTCGAGCTCCAGTTTCTTCGCCAAACATACTCATTGATTGTTCCAAGTAATTATATGAATGCAATCAAGATAGTAATCATAACTCTTAAAACAAACAATAAATTACAAACACTTATGCTTCATATGTACCTGTAATATTTTCTTAGAGGCATTCTGGACGTTTTTGACCTGATATAACTTGATGATAATGCTAGACGCCTCATTTTTCAGTGATCAATAAAATTTCATTAAATGAGAAGGTAGGTTCCCAAATTCCATTTCATTCGAACTGGTAAAATTCCCTAATTTTGTCAGTCATGTCATTCACCAATCATAAAAATTCTAAGCATACACCCAAGTTTCAAATTTTAAACACAGTTCATTTTTAAAAAAAGTTTTATGATACCGCAATTGCAACCCCCTTCTCTGGAAATGCAAATTTCATAAGTAATTAATTATAGATAATTAAGATAATTATATAATATTAAATGTCATCACTTACTACCAAAATAGATAAGCCGGTTAATTGATGCGGTCACTGTAAAATGTTGTTAGTTAACTAATTAGGTAACACTCTGCAGTAGAAAATCTGGATTGCGAAACGCTCCCTGTTTATGTGTTATGTTTTTAATACCCGAGACACTTTTTGACTCGCATAACCAATCTGTGGAACGGGTTAACGTCTGTGGTTTTTCCGGAACTATACGACCTTTAAACCTTCAAGAAAAGAGCGTACTCCTTCCTAAAAGGCCGGCAACGCGTTTGTGACCTGAGTTGCGTGAGGTGACCCGTCTGCTCCTCTGCCCCCTCTAACATAAAAAAAAATACATAAACTCTAATACATAACAGATAATCCCAAAATTCTTAAATGAAAGTATAAAAAACCAAAGAGACGAAAAAAATGAAAATAGAAGAATCGTCACAGACTTCTTGAGAAAACCAGCTAGTTCTCCAAAATATTCTCGAAGGTTTGTGTGAAGTGAACCAACCCGCAGTCTGTCAGTGCAGTTAGTTAATTATACCGAGCATAAATATAATACTGGTATTGCTTGGAAATAGAATATTTTTTGTTGAACTGAGCAACATCTTCAAATTGCAGTTTCATACAAGCAGAAAGGCCATATGCCTTAGCTTCTATTAAACTTTACAACAAATAGCATAATTACCTAATTGAAGGCCATTTGTAGAGCGTTACCAGAAACGAATAAAACTGAACAAGAATGTGTTTAAAATATTGTACTAATAAACTGCCAACAACATTCATGGAATATGTAAGGGTAGAAGCAAATAGAAACAGACGAGAGAAGAAAAATAAAACGATTAGGTTATCGTTAGATAGGTAATAGCATAGCACAATATGTAAAAGTACCATATTGTTTACATGTGACCCAGCATGAACCCTATTTCTCCTGAATCCAGTAAAATCTGAATCTATTCCCGCCAGTTGCTGTAAAAACATGCATGCAGTATGCATACTTCGTGAATCTAATGGTGGTGGGTTAGGCGCGGGTAAAAATAACCCATCGGCATTTAGGGTTGAACTATGCTGAGTACACGCTGAAGTAAAATCTTTAAGCGGAAAGGTCTAACACATCTATGGCTAGAACAATTTTTATGACAACTTTTTTTAAACTCAAACCTTTTTTTCTGAAAGACAAAGCCTTTTTTATTAAAAAGCGAAAAAAAAGTGAAAATGAAGCACATGAATAAAAAACCTGTTTTGTCTCTTCCTTCTATCAAGTATTACGTTTCTAAGGGCGCAAAATTAAGACATGTATTCAAACAGTTTATAATAATTTACCATGATTTGAAGACTTTTGACTCATTAAAACCGGTGATAATTTATTTCTAAAGCTAATTATGCAACAATCTTTCATTTAGGCTTTTTTAAAGAAAACTAGCAATGTGGGTCACACATTAGTATGTTTGTTGAGCCCTCTAGATGAACTGAATGTTAGAAATGGGTTTGGTAGCGTACTGAGTGGAGTTCCAGCCGATAGCCGATCGCTAGTTTTAAACATTTTTCTGAGCATTTTTCAAAAAGCTACTACATACTTTAGCAAGTAATAATTACAAAAAAAAATACTCTCCAAAACAGTTATGTTGATACCTAATTCTGTATTACTTTAGGTTACAATTTAAAAAAAGAACGGAACGTACTTAATTCGTTATAGTACATGTTAAAAGAATAATAATAGCAAATCTCAACTACATTTGGGTTTAAATTACATAGATGATAAAAGACTAACAAAAAGAAAGGATAACGCCCAATTTATTTTATAGAATACAAATTCACTTTGTGGATCATCGTTCCAGTGATTGGAAAACATGTTGGAATAAAAAATAATATTTAAAATATTATTTTTTATTATTGTCGATTTTTTTACATAAGATAGAATGGTCGTAACTTTTCAAACAAATGAAAACTATCTATGATTAATATTAAATTGTACACAGAGGATTTGGAGGGTGAAAGCCGGTATATGTACCGTTCCGTTTCGTTAATCTATACATAAATCTTATGGATAAGAGGGTATTTTAGTAATAAAAATATGATGATACAATGATTTCAGAAATCACAAAATGTCATTTTATCATTAATTTCAAACTTTGCTATTTTTTATGTGTTCTTACTAAAATGTCTGTAAGTACTTGCGACACCCCATAGGATATTGCCTTAGGATGGCAGTCCTCGGGATGGTGTGGTAATGAAAACAAAACATACTCCTGACTCTTGCATTACTACAATGGCGGGAGCCGGCGTCCGAAGAGTTTTTCCTTCCCACTCCAACAAAAATACCTACGCAGGTAGTTGCAAAACGCTGACCGCCATGATTGTTTTAAAAGATTTATCATTTTTTAGGTTGAAGCTAAATTTATTTCCGTATTTATGATCTATCATATTCTTCTCTTCTCTCTGTTAACCAATTTTTGGATCAAAAAATTAAACGGAATTCGTTTAAGGGACACGTGCTGCTCGTAAAAGTACCTACCTTCTATCTATCTATAACTACATGTACTCATATTTTTAAAATGTCTCAAAGAAAAATATCTTGATATTGACAGATAGGACAATGCAGTCCATGCAATCACATCCCTGAATACAGATTGCTATATTCGTCCCGAGATAACTGAGACTGAGATGTGAGCGTTGAGCAGCTGGCACCCTACATACCATTGCGACAATGTTTCTCAATGTGCAAGTCTCACAAACGGATATGAATACTTACTGAACCTTTTGTTTAGATAAACGTTTCCTAGCCAGGTAGGTTGTTACCTGCCCAGATAAGGGTTACAAGAAATGGGAGTCGTAATGATTCAGGTAAAAATGACAAAGAATTTGTAAAGCTCGTTCACATCCACGAGTCCTAAGTTTCCTCGTGTTAAGTTTAAATAATTAATTACACTATGCTTATACACTAGCCTTTCTTAAAGGTATCTACTTTATTAATGAGGTTATTTATGAGCTTACCTATTAAGCAAAAGTTATGTACCTATCTTAGTTTTTTTGTAACTGCAAAACCATTTATATAACCATTTATAATTTGGGGAATACCGTTTAATGAAAGTTAAACATACCAAATTAGTTAATAAATGTTTCGTTATCTTAATAGATAATGATTTCTTCTGATAATCGAACCTCATTACAAAAATAGAATACTATTCATAGTATGATTAAATATTGGTCAACCAACAACTTTAAAATACTCGCTGATCGCGCAAAATTGTTCATCAAATACGGTTGATATTTAACCAAGAGCGTCACAGGCCTGTATCATTTTGTGAATGTCCACCGTTGAATATTATTATCCTAGGCCGCCAGTCCAGTCGCGGCATTCTGCAATATTCCGCATTCACTCGATAGCAACGCGCCGCACGCTCAGTTCGAAATTGGCGCGCAGACGAAGCCGGTCAGCGACGTGCGCGCCTTCGTCGAATTGAGTTGTGTTGTGGAAGCTGTATCGAAACAAAGTGAAGGACCTAAACCAAAACTTTTGTGTTATTTTTGTTGCGAATTGTGAACTGGTTTTACTTGTAAAATGTAAAACTTTAATGAACCAGTGCAAGTTCTAAAGTGAAAAAAATACATAAAGTAAATAAATAACTAATAGTCTAGTTGATAAGTAAAATAGTGTGTCGACTGTCGAGTTTTTATTTATCAACGCGCGGTTATCATGTGCGGTCAGCAGTGCAAACTTATTTGAGCTTATTATCCTTTGTGTAGGTGTAGGCATCATCCGCGGCGAGTACGCTTACGCCCGTATAGTAGTAGTAGTACATAAACAAATAATAGTATTTATAATGGATGGAGAGCGAAAAATTCACATGAGCGAGGGTGTCCCGCTGAATTCAACAGGTGCGGCAAGCATTTTTTTGAATACTGGTAGAAATACTAAAGTTAATTCACCCGAAGGGACCGTCATTCATCTCAAGACAGGTGACTTTTGTTCATAAGTACTATAATATGTAGTAATTTAGAAATATTGTTTATATGTAGGTATATATCAACGTGTTATTTTTGTATTGCAGAGAAACCTTCGGACCTCGGTGTGCATATAAATACTACCTTTTCCATAGCGTCTTCCAAGAAAATCAAGCTTTTGTTCGTGTTGAATTTTTTGTTGAGCGTCATATGTATGATAATTAGTTGTTCAATAGCGTTTTACTACTGGAACGAAATAATATCGATGAGGAGACAGTTAGATATGATTAAAGACCAGTTCATCATTAATAATATAAATGATAAAGGGGTGCAGGCTGCGCTGGTGGGCGTGCCCAGGCCACCCATGGTTATCGAAACACGAGAGCCTAGAATGAAGTCTTTAGATGATGACGAGACAGCTCAGAATGCAAGGAAATATTATGTTGATGATCTTGGAGAAGATATGTTGTTAGTAGACTCTAAGAAAAAAAACTCCAGCAAAGACAATACCCCTGTCTATGACTTAACAATGCTACAAAAAGGTTAATATAAATCTATGTTTATCTCTAAATTTATCTATAAATATTTTGAAGTAATTATAAAAGTAATAGACATTTTTTTGAAATAATTTTGCAGAATTGGTAGTGGTTCAGTTCAATGGTGCTAAGCGTGAACACAACATGGGAACAGAATGTAAGTATTAAAAACAATATATTTATTATTATTTATCATGGTATTATTTTTTTATTTCTATTGTTTATTTTATATTGTATATATTGTTTTATTTTTTTTCAAACATATATTTGGCTTATCTACTATTGACTGAAATAACTGGCTTGTTTTAACAAAACACTTAATTTAGTATAGTCTGTTACTGTTATGACCAGCATAGTAATAATGTTGCTACACCATATATTATATGTTTTAATGAGGTATAATGCTTAACCTGATAAACAGCTTACATGCTACTTGAAAATATTTCTTAAAAATAAGGACATAGAAGTGTTATGGCTAGAAATACTATTAAAGTTTATAAAACAATTAAGTAAGGACATTACTTATAAAACCTGTTACTTTCATTAAGTATATGTCAAAAATTAACCGAATATATACAATACATAGATTATTATATACATTTGTGCATTGATAATAGATTTTTTTTATTAATTATATTTTTCAAATTATATTATCAAAGGAGTTTGGTTTTCTAAGTGTCTAACAGTTTTTTTTTTAAAGAGGAAGTTTAAATTTAAATATATAGTTGGCATGAATTCTATAACATTCCTATACCACTGCAAATATGTGTTTAAAATGATAATTTATGTGAATGTGTCACTGGCAGGATACGCACAAACATTTGCTTTGTTAATATCAACCTTATTATAATATCATCTTTATCCTCAAGGAAGAAGGTTCATTATCTAATATCTCCAACCCGTTTGTAGTTACCATAGTTACTATGTAAAATGAAGTATTAATTTACATCTCTTAGATGATCGGTAGCAATTAGTTACATACTGAACAATTAAGCTCCCAGACAAAGTTAGATAATTCCTTTTGTATCTAGAATCTTTAACAGCAGTAGTATTAACAACTACCAATTTATATCACTTTAATTAATTAGAAGGTCTATGATGATTCTATATTATTTTTACTGTCTCGGTAGACTAATGTCCTGCATAAATTCTGTGAAAATATGAATTCGATTCGTGCTTCGGGCGATAACTTTCTTGAGTAAGGAGCTACTCTAATCTGTTTCTAAATGAAAATAGGCTTGCCAAGTGGGAAGGCGAAACATCTCCTGTTACCATTGTGTACTGTACTTTATATAGTTATCTGCAAATATCTGAAAAGTTGATCCTTGTTAGACCAGCTTGAAACCAATATTCTAGAAAGTATGTTCCGAATCAGACTTGATGATATAGTTTCGACCAGCCTATTTCGACTAACGATAGGTGTTCTCGGATCCCTCCTATTTTAGTCGCAGGATAACACTCCTTGTTGTTTATTCGTATCGATTCCAACACTACTCGATCGATAAACCCGGTGGGATGACGGCCGATCTTTTTACGGGCTGACTAGTCGCGATTTAGGTAGGATACATACGTATGTGTATACTGTTCCTGGCCGCCACAGTTGGGCACCGCCTATGTCCTGGACATTGACGAAACGCAAGTAACTCTTCTAGGGGTATTATGGCATTTGTTAATATGCGTCAGCAAATGGAGAAGATAACTAATTATGCGACCCCAAATAAATCTGGGTAAAGGGAGAGAAGATGATGTTTATATGCATCAGCAAGCGTTTACAATAATGCGGGCCGTAATTTATTGCTTTCTATAACATTCTTTTTTAACTTGAGACACGTCAAACATCTCTAGCTGATCTCAAACTAGTCACTATTGTAACGTAACCACCTTTGTTTCATACTTATAATGTTACTAACTGTAAATACCATAAGACAGCTAGACATATAAGGAATTATTGTGCTCATCACAGTTCTTTGTACTGGGTGGAAATCGAACCCACGACCTCTGGTTCAGCAGTCAGGTCACTAACCATTAGACCGACAGACCTGCTGTTTTTTCTTATCTTGAATTTAAAAAAAATGCAAGACCACAGCGTTTTTATCAATCTTAAATATTATAAAAAAATAAGTTATCTATGCAAGCATGTTTAGGGAAATCCCCTGTAGTTACATACAGCATAAAAATTTACGAATTCTTCGATATAATATATACATACCTACATTTGCAAAAGCATAATACTACGCGTATGAAATAATGAACAGTCTGTTCGCTACATTTTTTTTTGTACTGAAGCATGCAGACCTACTCGTAATGATGCTATTGTTCCAATATTAAAAAAGTCCCGTCACTGTCCACTTCTAGTTTAATTTGACAACTTTGTTCGTGCTTTACTGCTGTTATTAATCGACCCTACAAGAGAAATATTAGCTTAAAACTTGTCCCTCAGGTCTTTCTACAACCTTTTCATTGCTCATAAAGTTCTTCCATTTTACAGACGGTAGTTTAAAATGTTTTCCATTTCTATAATATTTTGATTAGTAGCCAGGAACAATACCATCTCCCAATGGGAGGTGAATTTTAATAAATACCGTAACGAGCGTTCTGTTTTCTTCTTATAAAAACGTAAATTCTAATGATTTCATAGAAACCAGAGGGTTCTTGTTTTTTATTAGTAAAAATATCTTTTAGCTTCATATAATGCTGATCGCCTTTTAGGAGGGTTAAGTAATAACCAGTCGAGATTGAATGAATGTACTTTTCTGTCGATCTACCATTCACGACATTAAACTATGAAAATTATGTGGAATAGACCAAATCCGTTAGTAGGCAATAGCAGATTTGTACTGAGAATTAAAGGTGGAGACTGCAGATAACAGGGTGGCTACTATTTCTTGTGCCGTGTGTGCAGAGAATGGTTACCATTGGTCAACCAGCAACCGCTTAAAATTAAGTTCAAAGACCAAGAGCTGTTTGCGTCGATTTTGCCCCCGAATCTCAAAATATTTACGTTATGTCATTACATTAACTTGCAACAACATGATAATAGTACTACATATCCTGTGTGATAACATTCCATAGAAGGCATTACGTATTAAGTAGTCATGGTTTTGTTTATTTTCCATTAACTCATAGGACTGTGCTGCTGACAAAACGTCCTCAGAATAAATATCCTCATATGGATTCAAATGTTTGACCACAAACGTTGCAATGCCTTAGTAAAGGTGTATTCCTACTGGGTAATTGTACAGTCATTAGGTTGGAAATTAAGGTTTCTACAAAATGGACACTTAGTCTCTCCAGCCCTCTAAATATGGTGAGTAGTTAAATAAGCCTGTAATAGGGATTCCCGCTACCTAAAAACCATATGATTTTCCTGATTACTGCACAATATACATAATATAAAACTCAATAGGTTCGGTAATTACTCTTAACATTTTAGACATTATTACATAGCCTTTTGATGCAGATGAATATTTTATTATTCAATTCTATAAACTTGAGTTAGCATATTTATATAAAATGCACATTATATAAATAATTTAAAAATGTATTAATTTCGTATTATAGTGAACCAAAATAATTCAAAATTCTAACATCTCCAAAGAATACTAATGGGTTTTTAAAACGTAATTCCAGGTTAAAAGCTCGAATATTGTCGATGCATTTTATTATCAGAGTATAAAAAGACCCACTACCTACCTACATTAAGCACAAAGGATTCCAAACGCGGGGTCAATGGTTCCACCATAAAGCGTCCTGCGCATATTTCGGATTACTTTGTTTACATCGGGAATGTCACGAAGCTTAATCGTAACCGAAACGATTGGATATCCGAAACCGTAACAAATCTGGTAAAAAAAAATCGAATAATTTGGAATAGGCGCGGGTTAATATAAAACACGTTATGGTAAATTTTTATATGGCTAAAACGGTTTGTATGTTGTTACTTTGTTAAAGGGTAATTTCGTTTTCGCTAATTGTATTTTTATGATTTTACTAACAAGAAAATCCTAAAGAATCTAAATTAGTCGTATCAAATAAAACGAAGAGCGACTCGAATCGGCGGAATAAGATCGGCTCGATCCCTTGACTTTACATAGAGAGGGGCTTCACTCTGCATTCTTTATCGCATATATTATGGAGAGTGCTCCGAGGAATTGTTCGGACTTATACCCGCCGCAAATTTCCGCCATCGTTCCACAAGGCAAAATTTTGATCCCCATCACCTGGATAGTTGGCGTAGTTGACACTTTTTGCCTCGCACAACCAATTTGTGGAACGGGTTATCTTCTGTGGTATTTCCAGACCGACCTTCAAACCTTCAAGAAAAGAGCGTACTCCTTCCTAAAAGGCCGGCAGACGTTCATTGGCGGTGATGGTCACTTTCCATCAGGTGCCGTCATGATGGGGTCATCATAAAAAAAAGGATATTATCCAAAACTGTCGCATAATCCGAAAAATTCAATATCCGTAACATTATCCGAATCGTTTGTATTATTCGTAAATGTATCCGTATTTATATCCGAAGTTTAGTATCCATAACATCCCTGGTTTACATTAATGACGCAGACGACACTTAATAAAAGGAGTTTAGGAATTCGCTTCGAAATACATGCATGTCAATACACGACACCATTATTTGTGCGACTGACTAGTGCCTTGTGTGTTTTAACTGTTCAAAAATGAACTGTGAGGTGTTCAGGGGGCCTATCAGCACTAGTGAAGGACTTATTAAGGCAGAACTCGCAAGACTCCGGCTAAAATAAGTCCTGAATTTAGAGTCACAAGTCCTTTCGTTGAATACAAATGCAAAAAGACTCAACTCATAGAACTGAGTTTTTATTATAGATCTCTTGTAGTAGTAAGTAGTCTTGAGTAAGTCAGTAATAAATCTGTATAACATTATACCCTAAAAATTTATATCAACAGAATACAGTAAAGTGAATTGAAACTCACTTTTTCTAAATGACTTCTTAACTAGCAATGAACTTGCTTCTTAAGTCTCTTTAAATTTATTATTGTAAAAAGACTCGAGTTCGCGAGTCATATTGTGAGGAATCGTAAGGCTTGTACCTGACAAAAAGGCTTGAGCGCTAATTTACGAGTCCAGTCCCTAAATTAGGAGTTAAAGTACTCTAGTCCTGTCCGTCCTTAACTAATCTGCACGCGTGATGAACACCTGGGCCTCTATTCTGCTATTTTATGTTCACGCCAAGTCACTGTCATACCACTGACACGCTATTGAGATGCCATCGAGTGGCCATTGGCATCGGTATAAATATCAGTTAGTCTACACTAACTGAATGTCTTTACAGTGGCGATGGAATGGCAGTGACTCATCAGTGGTGATATTAAAAATATTGCCATATTTGGAAAAAATAATAAATCATTTCCTTATAATTTGAAAATATATATTTCGTTTTTTTGAGTGAACATAAAATAGCAGAATTGAGGCCCTGACCTGAGGTCCTAGTGTAAGTTAATTGCGGCCTAGTACGATTGGTGAAGATTTCATAATTGACATAAACTCACATTTAGCTCTTAAGTTCATCATGCGTGCAGATGTACCTGAGTTTCGTTGTTCACTATTACTTTTAAATGTATGAAAACATGCGGATGGATGATGTCGTTAGAATGCAAAATCCCCGTGGTATAATTTTTGTAAACAATTTATAGTCGCACTGCTTGTTTAAAAATATTTAAAAAAAATGCATCGTGGACTCGAAATTCCATAATTTTTCATACTCGAGGTACAGATCATGAAATTTTCTATACCTGTTTAGATTGACTAAATTACATTAATACAAACAAAGTTGCAGGCATATGTTGTAATTGTATATTTCGAAAAGTTAACGTTCGTATTTATCGTAATACCATTTAGACATCAAAACAATGTTGTGATGTATTTAATGATGCGACTGTATCTAGCTGTAATTGAAAAAAGTGGCTGTGAGTTTGTTTACCCTTTCTTCTCATAAGGCTGAACCCTTTAAAGACGGGAAACACAGACATATAATGGATTAACTTCATTTGTCTAAACATTTGACAAAACAGTTTGTTGCTATTCTGTGTTTTGATCTATGACTTAAGAGTCTAGGACGATTTGAGTTTGATCCAGTCCGTAATACAATGACAGTGAGTAAATATTGCCAGTTTATTTTAAGAGAGTAATTACATATTTGTGTTGCGAACAATGACTTAAATGAAAAAAAAAAAAGAATAACCCAGGTACCTGTTAGGTTTTTAGAACAAAACAATAACAGTAAAAATAATATTTGCCTCTTCAAAGGATTTGACAAACATCAGTATGGTAGTCACTGAACCCCGTCAATTTTTTTTTCACCAGTTCTAGTTCTGAATAGATATTTTTTATTCTCAAGCAGCCACTAGATTCTATACCTCGCAGTTATAGTTTACAAGTCACAGCAGCCTACGAATTACATATTTTTGACATAAATTTGAATGTTCTTTCTTTCTTTTCAGCCATTGTAGGCCCGTGGATACGCGATGAAGAAGTATCTTCCAAAAACAGCGAAGACAAGATAGGCATAGACAACAATCTTGTAGTCATCAAAGAAGGGGGCTTATACTTAATTTATGCACAGGTAAGATTTTTTGTGATCCTTATTTAACTCTTGAATTCTATACGTAATCTGTTTGTAAGATCTGTACGCATTTACGAAATTCCTTATAGAATTTACACTAATAACTAATATACTTTTCAAAAGTAATATCACATAGAAGTCGTTCATTTTTTATGTATAACTCTGGGTTGATTTTGAGAAAAGGGACGGAAATGTGTAACAGAAAGCTAGAGAACGTAACTAAAGTCGGTCGTCAGATGGTAGTTGAGATGTCAGATATTACACACCATATTGTAAGGGAGCCCGTGCTGCTAAATGGAGATTTACTCGAGCGTTATGGGGATCTATTGCAGGGTTTTAAAAAATATAAGGGGAGGAAATCGAAAGAAAATTCTCAGATATTTTGGGGGTATGTTATTTGGATGCCGAAAATGCTCCTATTGAAAGGTCTGACGATTTTAAAGTGACATGCTCGTAGCGAATTATCGAAAATGCAAACGGCAAATTCGAAAACACGTCATTTCGAAATACCTGAGCGTGTTAGATTTTATACAGACGGTTCAGCTTAATGTTCCTGTCATGCTAGCTAAAAATCAATTTATCAGATTATAAATCTGATGGTTTGAAATATTCTATATTTTTTTATTTTTTACTAAATGGGACAAATAAAGGCACGAAAAATTATGTAGACAAGATTTCTTGCATTATGTCACTCTCAAATCGTCAGATTTTTTATAAATACACTAATATGTATGTAATTAACCCAACTTACGTAAATCTTACACGCTCGAGTATTTCTGACCATCGATTTTGTTAACTAATCTGATGGGCTTTCCTAGACGTCCGGCCCACTATGTAGGGCTCTTTTATGGTGAAGGTACTCAACTGGGTGTAAGGTATTCCTCCTATGTTAATTTGACACGCTCGAGTAAATCCCGAAACCCCTTCTAGGGCTCTCCTACTAATAGGTATATGACTACTTTAAGGCTCGCTTGTTTTTTTTAAACTCCTATTTGATGTTAAAGTATCTGTGCGATCGTGATTCTATCTCTTTTTTTCTAGGTAGGATGGTAATTGGCTTTTTTGCAGCCTTAACTCTGTGGTTACCTACAGTTTACACTTTACCTTTACCTACAGTTACACCATTAAACAACACTGTTCTACATGCTCTTATATTCTGACTCATTAACATGACGTAAATCGCGGTGCGGTTAGATATTCCACAATGAAGCCTAGTAAAAGTAAGGTGTGTGTGTGTGTGTGTGTGTGTATTTTCTAATCATTTAATAAAAAACCCGGTAATGTAAATGTGTTAAATTGAGTAAAATCTAGTGCTCAAGTAGGGTCATTGCAATCACAGTTTTACTAATTAGATTATAAGACATTAAACATTCTATATTAAACACTCTGGAAAATTACATTGGCATACTACACGTGTTTTACACAAGTAAATCGACAAATACACGCTTACCTGTGACTGTACCCGACAGTTTACCGTCAGTACCTTACAACAAAAGCTCCGTCCATCCTATACCATAAACCCCAAACAAGAGCATTATGCCAGTCCCACTATACTTTGAGGCGTCCGATAACTAAGCTTATTATTGTTAATTTATGATTTAAAAATAAAATTATATAGTATGGTATAGGCACATGGGTGCAAACCAAACAATTTATTCACTGGATGACATGATGCGAGTGATCGCCCGAATTTCTCCCGAACTTTTTGGATGCCTCAAATCCATTATTTATTTTTGTTTTCTATCTTTGCAGTTAGTATACCTCACTCAGTCGCCTAACTGTTACTTCATATGGACAAGAAGGCAAGCTACAAAAAATGCGCAACTCCTGAGCACATGCTCGACGGGCGATGACTCCAGCAACCGGCCACTCAACAAATCGCAAATGTCGTGTTCTGTACAGACCGTGGCAAGACTATACAAAGGTGATACCGTGAACATTGCTCAGAGAGAACCAAACCGAACAGTTTGGCTCAGGCCAGGTTACAGCTACTTCGGTTTTGTAAAACTTAGTTCCTAATAGGCTGTGAAATTATGAATAAGGTTAATTAAAAATCCCCGATGCGGTCGAATGTGACTCAAAACGAGTAATATGCAACTAGTGGCCTACTTAGGTACTGTTTGAACCTATTTAAGTGGACAAGGGATTTCTTTCAATGGTGATTCAGTCAAGAAAAACTTAGGTAGAAAGGTACCTATGTTTGTTCTGCTTTTTGAAGCAGACCCAGTACACTTAAAGTAGTTGCTATAAATTCAATTTGTTATGATACGATATAGAGTAACGACAAGGAAGAATTAGTTTTTTCATTTTGGTTGGCCAAACTTCAATTGGCTCACTAAAGGCACACTTAATTCTTCCTTTAATATAAATAATTAATGTTGCCTTATACAAAATAAAAGGTTCAATAAACCGCATCTTTCTACGAAGTGTATGTTTGAATCTGTACAATTATTGTTACTTATAATTGATTCAATATTTAGGTCAATGATGTTCGTCATCGTATGTTTAAACGAAGTGAGCGAACCATTTCGGCGTTATGAATGACTTATTATTCAGTAAAAGAATGGTGCTAAATAGCTTGATATAAGAATTGTTATATTTGTTTAATTTTGAAATTACCCTACAACTTTGGGAAGGAAGTCACACATCTATTTTTCATTTTAAGCCTATGGTATAGTACAGGTACTTCAAACAACAAAAAACAGCAATAGTTTGAAATTCTTTGTAGAAATGAATACATTTTTAAACAATAGAAAATATTCTATTGTTTGATTCAATATACATATATATAGTTATATTTGTTAATTTTGAAATTACACTACAACTTTGGGAAGGAAGTCACAAATCTTTTTTTTTATTTTAAGCCAATGGTATAGTAGAGGTAATTCAAACCACAAAACGCAGCAATAGTTAAAAATTCTTTGTAGAAATGAATACATTTTTAAACAATAGAAAAGATTATATTGTTTGATACAATAACTTAGTGAGGATTTCGAGATCAGATTATAACTTTTTTGCATAGTGTCTGCCAAATAAAAAAGCATTACAGAAGAATGCCACGCCAATAACTAAAAACTCGAAGTGTAGCATATGTTTGTGTGATTTTTCAATGACTGGCTCCAAATTTGAAAGCACGTGGTTTGCAGATGACGACAATCGCATATGCGCACGCGTACAGTCTTATTAATACTGCAAAGAATACGAACAGCCCGTAAATTGATACTTTTTCGTTTATCCATTAAATATATATTACGTTGTCTAATATCCTAAAACAAATCAGTCGGTAATTAAAACAGTAAACGGTAACAGGTAAACAAAAACAGATATCTTTGAGGAAATTATATTTTTAGGTTTAGGGTAAAAGATTTCGAATGACGCTTTCCTTTAGTTGTAGTGTAATGTTGGTATGTGTATATGAAAGAAGAGATATGGTTCTAAATATTTTAGTTATCGCGCGTGCCATATCGTATAATGAACTGATTACGAACACATCACATTTCATGTGTATTGTACTTATTTCATAATATTCGTGTATAAGAAGTTATTGTTTCCAATTTCTTTACTTTCAAAACAGTTATGGTGCAGACACATAGGTGGTATTCAAACTTAAAGGAGTTGATCTCTAGTTTGATCAAGCACGCCATTTTGTGAATTCTAGATTTAAAACATATCAAAATGGACGTACTTTTAATTTCTGTTTAAACCTCGTTAATACAACGGTTAATTGCTATTATTATTCAAGTCGAGTCCATCTATAGTATCATTTATTAAAGTTTCCAAAAATGTATGTGTAGGTATGTAATTGGACAAACAGTCAGTTTAGAATATCACTGTAAATATTATATTTAAGACAATAATTATTGCTATGTGAGTATCGCTTAAGACTCAGTAAATATTAATTGATTATACAATTTATGATTGTTTTTTACGTAGTGTTAATGTGCCACATAAATACGGAAATTATACATAAGTACTAGAATCTAAGTTACCAATATGTGGTTCGGATATTTAATTTAGTTTTTGACAATTGTTTGTATGGTGTTTTAAAAAAAAAATGCGTTATAAACACTGGTCATGGTTTTTATGTTACATTTGATATATTGATTTGATATATAAGTAACATTGTCAACTTTATTTGGATTTTTTCACTTTTATTCGGTACTTATTTTTATTTCGAGTTAGAAGTTTTTGAAATATAGCAATATATATTATAAAAAATAAACATTAAACCATCATTCATTTTGAGTGGTTGATTGTGTGATTAACGATAGTGGAAGTTAATTCTTAAAGTCATTAGTAGCTATATTGTAGGTATTTTCGGTGCTCATTAGTAGTAGTTAGCTTGTATGTGTCGGTGCAATGGGGGATAACGTTCACCCTCCATTTATTACCACACATTTTGTGTAAACGTAGCAATGATTCGTTTGTGATTTTACTACTCAGTGCGTAGATGAATAAAAATAGCTTTCGCATTTAAACGAATTAGTACGTAATTACGTTCAGGAATAAGTAGTTACGTAATGTGAAAAAAATATGAACAAAATGTCTTGACACTTTTTTAAATATTTTTAATGTTATAATGAGTATAGCAATGAACAAATATATATGCATATTTGTTACATTATGTAGTATAAGAACTTTTTATAAAAACAATGTGATATATTAGTGGTAATAAATTTTAAAATGTATGATTTGATTTCAGAATAGTTACGTTCAATGTAAATTTCTTTTTTTGAAACACATGTAGGTACGTTTAAGTGTAAAACTTGGAGATAACACCCGTCCAAAAAATAAATATCAACAGTAAAAATATGCTTGCTTTATTTTTTCCCTGACCAAACACCTAATCCATTGTTAATATTTACAGAAAGAAATTGTGTCGAAGATTAAGTTAAATTACAAAAACACCGTTTGCATTCTCTATGATAGGCTACGGATCGGACAGTCGGAATGTTTTTTTTTTAATTGTTCGTCTGTTGTGTTGAACGGCCGCATTGATGATAATCATATTTTGAAACACTTCGTTAATTTACCAAATAATATATGTAATAATTTCACACATCTCACATACGTCAGTCTGATCCCAAAGTACGCAGAGCCGTGGTAACCAGACCGCTGATAAAAATAGTTATAAATTTCAAAATACGTATATACATCAATTACTTCTAAGACACATGTAAACGTTGCAGTTGAACGTTCTACATGGCCCCTGAGATCTCAATACACATATGTTACTAACTTCTAGATAACAATAACCACATAAATTATTAGGAAATTAAATAATAGCGGAAATTCGCGGCCCTTCTGTGGAACAAACATAAACTTTTTAGTTCAGATCTTTTCGCGATCTCACAAAATTAAATTTCATAAAAAGCATTCAAATTATTACTAAGACTAGCAGAATACCAGAATACCTTTCGATCACAATACGATCTAATCACATAGCAGTCAACATTGAATGTTTTACTTTACTACGAGAATACCTTTTACGACATTTGTTAGATCGAGTAGATCGCGAGTACCTACATCGGAACTGAATTTTGAACAAATTTTCATTCCGAGAATTGCACGTCAGATCCTTGCCGCTTTTGATAGCAAAAAATAAATTATTAACAGTGAGTTCCATTGTACATTGTCAATGTCTACTTCGTGCGCTGACGGCAACCTAGGGGCACGGTACAATTATAATACAGTACTCCAACTTCATACAAACGGACTGGCGGATAGGAAATATTGTGCTGTTTTTGGTTGTATGAATTCGTCAATAACGCATCCAGACATAAGTTTTTTAAATTACCTGGAAACTCTGAAAGGTAAGAGTATAAAATAATTTTACTTACTAGTAGGTAGGTACATAATGTGTGACTTTTTAATGGATAAGTATTTCCTTTTATCTTACGAAAAAAAGGTGTTTGGATTAATAAATAAAGCGAATAGAGTAACTGAAAGTTATTGAGACGAGTGAAATAGGTATATGCGGTTATGAATGAATCATGATACGGTAGGTACCTATCTACTTACGCTTGTGTTAAAACTTCGGTGCATGTGTGTTTTGTTACTTTGCATAATTCAAAGCAAAGACGTGGTATTTTATTTTGAATAATATTTGTTTATTATCTGTGTGTATGAATAATACTAGAATTTTTTTTTTATCGTTTGTGTGTCATTAGATAGTTTTCGAAATTTTCACAAAGTGTTTCTGCTGCTACTATAACAACATACACACTAAAAACTGGTTTCATTTTCTCGGTATTAACAACAACAGCTAGACTCATATATAATATTTAGATGTTTGAGGGTTGTGATTTTAAAACATTCGTAGTCAGCTGTTCAGCTTTTTAATAATTAATTAATTGGTGACCAAAGAATTTTTGTTTTGAGTTGTAGGTAGGTACCTAATTTATAGAGACGTTAATAAGCTGAGATAAAATGTTATTTACTCGTCAGCTGTTTCTTGCATTCTAGTTGAGTAGGTAGGTGTTGGAGTTTCTAAGGATTGGAGTTTTGTAACGCGTAAGGAGAAAGTACATTTTTTTATTCTATAGAAGGATTTTTAAGCTATTGCATAGCTTTTATCGCGGGCTCTGAGCGCGGCGCGGCGCGGTGACAGAATCAAGAAATTCTCAAAACCTAACGAAAAATACCTGACACCACGTAGATTTTTTCTTTAAAAAAAAAATGTTATTGCAATAGCTTTACCGCGGCAGTCTCCGAGAGTGTCACATGTATTTTTTTTTCAGACGTCTTCAATGGTTGCAACTGATCCGGCGAGATGATTTGGAAAACAAACCTAACTTTAGTTCCTACCAAGTTTGTGAAAAACATTTTAATTTGGAGGATGTATTACATTTATCAAATAGAAAACTTTTAAAAAAGAATGCCCTACCATTGTTGATGCTGCCAAGCTTAGCTAGTACTGATCCAGGAGTATCTCTAAAAGAAGATAAACAAACCCAAACTGCTCCGTTGCAATGCAACAAATTAAATCTTTGCTCAAACCTCAACGAGTCTCTCTAGCAACACTCCAAGAAAAAGAAAATTGAAACTTGAACTCCTCCAATGCAGAATGAAAATAATTAAAAAATAATTAAATCTACCAATCAAAAAACAACACGCATTTTTATTGAACACTTCCTATTCAATATACAAAGTATTTCATTTATTTATATAAAAAGGATATTTACAATCACAAATCTAAATGGAAACAGAAAGTAGGCAAATATAATTAAAATGCTGGAGACGGGCAGCCCTAACGCATGTTTACGTACCGCGCGGCTGTAGGTATTTATTTCTATCATGCGGCCGAGTTACACTACTGTATTATAATAGTACCGTGCTAGGGGTGCCGTCTTAGCGCTAAAGTGCATCCAGTGGGTGTCCCAAGTCTATATGTAATTCTGGTTTAAAACCAATCACCACCAACCAATCCTAATTTAAAACCAAAAAACGTTTAAACCCGAAATAAAACATTTTTTTTTAGATTTGAATGACGAAGTACCTTTAAACTGCATAAAGATTTTCTATATGTGTGATATACTGATATTGATGTATTTAGCGGATTTAAGTTCTAGTTGGTCCGTCCGACCAAGCGTAGGTATTATCTACCTAAGTTAAATAATAATCAATTTGATTCAGTTTAAAATCAAACTCACACTCTCGCACTCTCGTTGATATCATCACTCGCGACGGCCATAAAGACATAACGTTGACTCTTTCATTCGCAATGTCTGCTAAACTAGTGTGTAATATAATATAATAAATAAATATAGGAAGGGATATATCTAGATACTTAAGTTTTCGTGTAGTAGGTATTGTAGGGAGGTACTTTCTATTTACTTTCTATAAACTAATTAAAACGAAACATGACGTCAGGCGACCAAAAATTGCTCATAATGAGCTGTAAAACACAGTTCTTTTATTTTTATTGGCGAGTTTTCAACCGTTTCAAACGATTTAGTTGGGGTTTAAAACGCCAATGTTTTATTAAAAACGTTTTAAATCGGTTGTTTTATATCTTTAGTCCCAAGTGCCGACTAAGAGAGTAAACTAAGGAACAACAGCACCGCAAAGAGAAGGCATACTTGATAGAAACACTATTTTAATCCGTCTGGCCAGCGTGATACGAGGGCGGGTCAATAAGTCCGTGACTTTTTGAATTTCTGACCTCTTTACTGAAAAAGCAACACTACTCCTGTCAACAGGCATCTGTCAGTTGACTCCTGTCAAAATTTGAACTTGATGCGTCAGTTAGTTTGTGTTTGACAGCTATCTTTATGAGACTACCCAGTAATTTGAGGAAAAAATGGAAAAAAGTGAATTTCGTGTGCATATTAAGCATTATTTTCTGCGAAAAAAAAAACCATTACCGAGACCCAGGCTAAGCTTGATAAATACTATGGGGACTCTGCACCATCGATTTCAATGGTAAAAAAGTGGTTTACTGAATTTCGTTGTGACCGTACAAGCACTGAAGATGCCGAACGTCCTGGACGCCCAGTTGAGGTCTCTTCACACAATCACAACCAAAAAAATTCACGATATGGTGTTGGCCGATCGAAGATTGAAAGTGCAAGAGATTGTGGAAGCCGTAGGGATCTCGCATGGCTCAGTGGTTTCAATTTTGAATGATCACTTGGGCATGAGAAAGCTTTCCGCAAGATGGGTGCCGCGATTGCTCAGAGTCGACCACAAACGCAATCGTGTAACAACTTCACAGGAAGGTTTGGCGTTGTTTAATCGCAATATGGAGGAGTTTTTGCGCCGTTTTGTAACCGTGGACGAAACATGGATCCATCACAACACACCAGAGACCAAACAACAGTCAAAACAGTGGGTTTCTAAGGGTGAATCGGCGCCAAAGAAGGCCAAGGTGGGTTTGTCAGCCAATAAAGTTATGGCGACTGTCTTTTGGGATGCACGCGGGATAATCCACATTGACTACCTTCAAAAGGGAAGAACAATCAATGGGGAATATTATGCTAACTTATTGGACCGATTCAATGACGATTTGAAAAAAAACCGACCTCATTTGGCCAAGAAAAAAGTTCTTTTCCACCAAGACAATGCAAGGGTGCACACATGTGCAGTTGCCATGGCAAAAATCCATGAATTGGGCTATGAATTGCCCCCTCATCCGCCCTATTCTCCAGGTTTGGCTCCGAGTGACTACTTCTTGTTCCCAAACCTGAAGAAATGGCTTGGTGGAAAAAGATTTGACTCCAATGATGAAGTCATCTCGCAAACAAAAGCCTATTTTGAGGACCTCGACAAATCATATTTTTTGGAAGGGATAAAAAAATTGGAGAAGCGTTGGAAAAAGTGTATAGAGCTCAAGGGAGACTACGTTGAAAAATAAAATGATTTATTTATCAAAAAATCTGTGTTTTATTCCATATTGACCCGCTCTCGTATAATAGGTCAAAACCTCTTTTCTAATGACAACGAGCTTAAGTCCAGCAGTGGACTACTAAAGGCTGTTGATATTGATGATGGTGCATTTTATTTTATACAGTTGGGGTGAAGGACAAGAATATGACCTGCTTTTTGATAAGCGCTGAAGTATGAGCATCTGTAAATATTTAAAACATTGAAACCATTGGGCGCTAACTATCTGCAAAAGATCTTATCAAGGTAGACACAATCAAAGTCACGATACTGTGTGTCTTTGTTAATGTGTATCTTCAGAACTTTTATTTCATTAATAGTTTATCTCTTTAAATTTGGAAGTATTTTTACTTAGAAATAGAAAACCAAAGTAGCCAAAGCTTTAGTAAATTAAATTAATTTAACAACATGACACATGAACAAGACTTACGTTCCGTTACACTGTATCTTTAAAATCATTTTTTATATCGATAATACTGTCAACTCTGTCAAGTAGTGATGCGCAAAATGTATCACTGAGCTGAAAAGATTGATATATATCATTTCGCTCAAAAGATATATATCACTCATCTAGCTCACTAGCTCATTTAGCTCACTAACTCGTTTAGCTCACTAGCTCATTTAGCTCACTAACTCGTTTAGCTCACTAGCTCATTGATCCGATTCAATTGATTGGTCTCACAATTAATTCATTTCTTCATCTAGATCGTTTAGCTCAGTATACTCGTATATCACTCACTTTAAGCCTCTCTCGCCATACAAACCTTTCTTTATTTTCATATTAACCTAAATTCAGTTTTTGAAACTACATTTTTACAAAACCAATTTTTTTTAATACAATTTTATTCATTTTGATAAGATTACATAATTATTAACATCGTTTTACATAATAATTAAAAATAAGAAATTATTTCTTGTACTTTTTTTTAGGTTGTATAATAGAAATCATACATAATTTGATTTTCCTTGTACTTGGCTTAATTCTTAAGTAATATTAAACTTTGATCCTATAGAAATAATGTACATTTTGCATAAAGAAACCTGCGTGAACTCAACCATCATCTATCCCACTCATTTATCTTTAGTCTCACTCGCTCATGAAACCAAGATCGGCGTCGTTGAGCTAGTGATCTAGTGATCTAGTGACTTAGTAGTGAGTTACTGATATATTCGGAGCCAGTGTGAGTGAGTGATACATTTTATCGTCGTGAATGATATATATCTTTTATATCACTCACTCAGGAGCTACACAACTCTACTGTCAAGTGTCATGTCGTTTTTTAATTGTGACATGAGAGGGTAATGATAACCTTAAAGTACATAATTAATATACATAATAACTAAAATGTTAACCAGGTAAACAACTAACATATATTATTTCTACATATTGCATTCTGTATAAATGCAGTATTAAATGGAAAATAATCCTCATATTTAAAAAATCATTCATTAAAATCATTTACAGACTCAAATTCCGGCAGGATTTCCGGGTTATAGGTAGATTTCTATCTGACAAACCTTCAGATAGTGATGGAAAGTTTAATGATGCTAAACCAAAGGAGTCTGACCCTCCAAAGAAATCATCAGAGTCTTCAAAGGAAAAAATTCAACAGCTTCTGAAGCTCATGATGGCTGAGCCAAAGATCAAAGAGAGTGATTACAAAGACAAGTTTGCAACTGCACCGAATATACCAAGAAGACGCAAGCAAAAAGATGAAATAGAAATCAAAACAGAAAAAATAGGTATGAGTGCTTATTTATTTTCATAGAAAAATGCATGATCAGAAATGTGTCTTTAGGTGCCCCCAAATACTATTGCTGTAATAGTAACATTAATAACTCACAAATCTCACACACAGCCGTCTGATCCCAAATTAGACAGACCCTGTACTGTGGTAACCAGACTGCTGATAAACATACTTATATATTTCTAAATACATACATATTATAGATAAATTACACCCAGACACAGAACAAATGATCATGCCCATCACACAATTATTTGTCTTGGGTGGGATACAAACCCACTTCGTCCGGCTTAGCAGTCGGGATCACTAACCACTAAACCAACAGACCCATCTAATTGCTAGCTAGTTAATTAGCTTATGAAATAGGTCTTTAGTTTTGAAATTCTACTAAAAGTTATTGCTGGAGTCCTTTATCTAAATTGAAAAATATGAAAATGAAATGTTTACCTAAGTATTCGTTTAATTTTAATTATAATTATTTTTTAAGTTTCCTATTAAAAAAATTAAAAAAATGATAAGTAGAAAAGCTGATGAAAAACAAACTTATGATACTTCAACTGAATATTATAGAAAATATACTTTAGGATTATCATTTTTATAAATATTGTATTGTTATGTATACACTAAGTTTTCTCTGTAAATCTTGCTCTACAACTCTACTGAAACCTATACGGTCATACAGCACCCAGCTACAGGGAGAGTCCAGCAAAAGCAGTATTATATTCCACCAAGGAATTGAAAATGCAATTTAAAAAATGTAATCATTCCTTCATGGTAAATAAATCCTTGACTATTTCAACACTCCTAACAGTTCTCAGAAAATCAGGAAACAAAAAAATTCAAAAAGGCTATAAACTAAATGTTCAGCCAGATATTCAACAGCTGCATATCAGGCTACTCAGCTGAATATGTGATGGCTATATATTCTGTGGCTATGCAGCTTTATGATTTTATGGACACTGGATTCCTTAAATCCAGCAAAACAGCCATCATAAACTGCTTATATTTATCACAGCAGTTACACTTGTACAACAAAACCATGTATTGGTTTAAAAGAGGTTCAGTGAGCTTAAGGAGTAGGGTGATTCTTTGCTCTTTTACTTCTGCGTCATTGTCTGCAACATTATAATCTTTGATTCAAATAATTGAGTATTTACAATAAAAAACCCCTGAACTTTAAATAATATGTCATCCGCTTTTTGTGGCGGTGGCCATTTTGAACCGATTTTCATCAAACATAGTCAAGAACAAAATCAAAATAAATTAGCTAAGAAAAAAACAAAATTAAAATCGGTTCATCCATTCGGCTGCTACGATGCCACAGACAGACATACACACATACTCACACACACTGTCTAAAACCACACCAACATTGTCACTAGGAGAAAAATTACATTTTTGACGTATTTTAACTATGTTGCAGAGGAAAGCTTGACAAAGGCAGCTGGTGATGTTGCCCAAGCTATTGGTGGTGATGTGAAACAGACTGAAGCCGAGCTGTTGTCCAGGGTGCTCGGCAAAATTAATCAGTCTTCAACAAATCTCAGGTACTACTATTATACTGCATTTATACTATGCATGTATTATATTTAGCACAAATTTAATTGTAAGGGTTTCAGCTCTGACTTAGTGTGATCATGTATCCTATTTAAAGATGTTAATGTTTATATTTCTTTTCTAATAAAAACGTGATCTTCTCGTCTATCTAACACACCGGCGGGCACAGGCGATCGAGAGCAAGGGACAGGCTTGTGCGGTTAGCTTGGACATAGCAAAGGCCTTCGAGGCTGAAAACGTCATCAAGAGTCGAAACAAACTTGTTTCTGAAATCGAAACTTGCTTAGCAGATGTTTCAGGTTGGCGTTGATTAAATCTAGTCCATTTTAACCCAAAAAAGATTCATGTTTGCTTGTTCACCGCAAAAGAAGATACCGTTTGTCGTATCACCTCGGTTTGAGAGCACCTCTCTACCTGCCTCAGCCAGTATCGGAATCCTAGGCATCGACATATCGAACGAAGTCCAGTTTAGGGGTCACTTAGAGGGCAAGGTGAAATTAGCCTCGAAGAAGCTCGGTGTGCTGAACAGATAGAGGCACTATTTCACTCTGGCCCCAACTTTATCAGGCGCAAGTCCGACTGTATATGTAATACTGTTCTCTATCTCTATATATTTGCACCCCAGTACCAGCCCCACCCCTCCTGTACCCCTGGACCGCAACCAAAGAAAATCGACTCGAATCGTCGCAAATCGATAGCCAAAAGTTTTCCGATCGACTCGATCACTTGGCGTTACGTAGAGATGTAGCTTCCCTCTGCATTCCCTATCGTAATATCATGCAGAGCTCCGAGGAATTATTTGCACTAATACCGGCGGCCCCGGCCGCAACTTCCCGCCATCGTTCCACACGGCAAAATTTCCATTCCCATGACTTGGATAATTGGCACATCACCACTGTGCGCTTTTCAAGACTCTTTTTGCCTGGCACAACCAATCTGTGGAACTGTGTTGTGTGGTGTTATCCTCTGCGGTATGAAGGGACCGATAAGACCTTCGGGAAAAGAGCGTACTTCTTTCTAAAAGGCCGGCAAACGTGCTTATGACTCCTGAGTTGCAGGTGCTCATAGGCGGCGCAGGTCACTTTCCACCAGGTGATCCGTCTACAGGTTTGCCCCATCTTCCAGAAAAAGAAGAAGAAAAGAGATGGCCAGCCTGAAATGATACAATTATTAAAGTAAATTTTGTTGATAATTCCACTATGCAATAAAGGCAGCCATAATGCATGGTTTGTATCTGTTGCTACAGATAACAGTGTTATGAGGAAGATTTAGCCTTGTTTTTAGTAATTTCTTCTTAACAAATTTGTTGGTCAATTCAAATAATGCTGATAAGAAAATTATTTCTTTTTTTATCTAGTAGCAAGTGCTTGAAATGACACAACATAGCAATTTTTATTAGTCTTAAGTTTAGCAAACAAGTTCCTCTACATGCTAACATTTCCGCCTCCCTTTTAATATATTTTGTATTATTATAATAGATTATCTTCCTTTTTTCCATTCTTATTTTAGATTATCCTAAATGAATAATTCTTGTATTTACTTCCTACAATTATTTTTTCTAGTGACTTGCTTATTGGCATGAAAGTGGATCGTTCTCAAGAACAGGATGATTTAACAAAGCAGGAAACCAGAGGGCAGCAAGTTAAACGTCTTGTCAGTAAGACGAAGCAAGATGTCCAGCAGACTCGGTTTATACAGCGGAAAGATAGACAGCCTTCAGAACAACGCCCCAATCGGGGAGAGTTCAAAAGAAGGTGAGACACACGCATATTAGCACTATTTTCCTTAATTACTACAAATGGATAAATGGACAAATAAACATAATAGTTTAAATAATAACAATGTTTGTTGTGTTGGCAATTTATTTATGCTAATTTTGATGATTTAGTTACTTCTCTGTCTAAATTAATCCAGACTGAAGAAAATCTAATAGAGGATCCTAGCTCTATTGCTTGTCGAAAGTAGGACACAAACAAGAATATTTATTAATTGTAATTAATAAAAGGGGCATTTTTCAAACTATAAAAAGTTAAATGAAAATATGGTGTCCTATACTTTGTACTAATATACTTTATATTTAATCAGTTGGTCTATTTTCCTACAGTGTATCAGCAAAATCTCCTGCATTGACCACTGTGGATATATTCAGTGGACAGCCATTGGGGATTTTTACAAAACAAGAGCCTAACTATGGCACGAAGCTAGACGTCTGGGAGAACTTGAAACAACGTGAATTGACTCTGGCAACTGCTCAGCCTCCCGCTAACTATTTCCAGAAAATGATCTTGTGGACTGAACAAGGGAAAGTCTGGAAGTTTCCTATCGATAATGAACAAGGTAGGTATTGTTATGCAAAGCCTATAAATGCGTGCACACAAGCGCTTTGCCGGCTAGGAAGAAAAATAGCAATATAGCAAGTGATAATAACGTTTACTGTTAAATTTAATTTGGCATTACCTTCTATCTTATCCTTTTTGCATCTTTTATACTTATAATATACGGCATAATAAACATTGGTATATGTTGAAATGTAACGTAAAAATGTTTTTTTCCAGGTTTGGAGTCTGAAAAAGACGTTCACTTCTCTGAGCATGTGTTTCTGGACACTCATTTAGAAGGATGGTGTCCGAAAAAGGGTCCTATTAGACATTTCATGGAATTGGTCTGCGTTGGTCTGTCTAAAAACCCTTTTTACACAATCCAGGAAAAGAAAGAACATATAATGTGGTACAAAGAGTATTTCGAATCTAAGAAGGATTTACTCAGTGAAGTCGGCGCTTGGAATGTAAAACCGGCTAGTACTGAAGCCACACAAAATTAATTTTTAGTCTTTATGGTTATAATCAAATATAATTAGTGTTGTGTAAATATCCGCTTATTATTTTTCTACCTGCCCATTTTACGAACTCTCTTTCAATATTGAACACGCAATTTACCATTTACTTTCAATTGCCTTCATTTAATTTCAATTGCCTGGGTACGGCATTAGACTGGCTCCCTGTTACGTAAGTTTTAAAATTAAAGTCGGCAAAATTTGGGCGTGTAATGAGCTTCTGCTTACTCCTTCTGGGATATAATAATATTAATAAATGATTTATTGGAGTAACTAAGTCTCAAAGATGTTAATAATTTGAAATGAGCGTATGTATTTTTATATTTAATAACTCCCTCAATTAAGAAAGGGATATTTATAATAGCCCTTATTAAAGCATGGCCAAAAACCCCAGTAGTCTCAAAAGCTATAAGAGATTAAGAACGTCTTAAAATGTCATTTATATGCCGTCTAGCTCTTTATAGTCGAGCTAGAGCTTTCTAGTGGTTGGCTGGTGAAATTTCGTATCTCCCGGTTGTTCTACGACCAAAACCATGCCCACTTCACGATAGCCAATCACGGCTTAGCTTAACAGAGACAGAAGGAACTATCGAGCGAACGAAAGAGATGAATCATCTCTTTCGTTGCCTGTATCGCTTCCACTTACAAGCAGCTGCCCCGTGTCACGGTACTATTATAATACAGTATTGTAACTCGGCCGCATGATAGAAATAAATGCCTACAGCCGCGCGGTACGTAAACATGCGTTAGGGCTGCCCGTCTCCAGCATTTTAATTATATTTGCCTACTTTCTGTTTCTATTTAGATTTGTGATTGTAAATATTCTTTTTATATAAATAAATGAAATACTTTGTATATTGAATAGGAATTGTTCAATAAAAATGCGTGTTGTTTTTTGATTGGTAGATTTAATTTAAAAAAAAAAATTGGTTGCCTGTAAAGTCGGTATACGGGCGAAAGTTTTACGTGACAACGACTATGTCTGTCTCTCTCGCTCTTAGGCGGGCTAACCATGCCCGATTGGAAGGGACGCGTGCCTCTCACTCGCTCTCATTGTGAGCGCATAACGTGAGCGGAGCGTAACGCAGTTTCTTGAAGTGTCACCCGGCAAACCTATTTATAAGACGTTGTCACGTCAAAACATTTTTTTGTTTGAAAAACCAATCGGGCTTATAAATTAGCGACCGAAAAAAATCCTTCTATAAAATAAAATAAATGTGCTTTCTCCATACGCGTTACAAAACTCCAATCCTTAGAAACTCCAACACCTACCACCTACTCAACTAGAATGCAAGAAACAGCTGACGAGTAAGTAACTTTTTATCTCAGCTAATTAACGTCTCTATAAATTACCTAACCTATAACCTACAACTCGCAACAACTCAAAACAAAAATTCTTTGGTCACCAATTAATTAATTATTAAAAAGCTGAACAGCTGACTACGAATGTTTTAAAATCACAACCCTCAAACATCTAAATATTATATATGAGTCTAGCTGTTGTTGTTAATACCGAGAAAATAAAACCAGTTTTTAGTGGTATATGTTGTTATAGTAGCAGCAGAAACACTTTGTGAAAATTTCGAAAACTGTCTAATGACACACAGACGGTAACAAATTTTTTTTAGTATTATTCATACACACAGATAATAAAGATATATTATTAATAATAAAATACCACGTCTTTAAGTAGAATTTTCTTTTTTTTGAATTATGCAAAGTAACAAAACAAACATGCACCGAAGTTTTAACACAAGCGTAAGTAGGTAGGTACCTACCGTATCATGATTCATTCAGAACCGCATGTAACTCCCTATTTCACTCGTCTCAATAACTTTCCGTTACTCTATTTGCTTTACTTATTCATCCAAACACCTTTTTTTTCGTGAGATAAAAGGAAATACTTATCCATTAAAAAGACACACATTATGTACCTACGTACTAGTAAGTAAAATTATTTTATAGTCTTACTTTTCAGAGTTTCCAGGTAATTTAAAAAAACTTATGTCTGGATGCGTTATTGACGAATTCATACAACCAAAAACAGCACAATATTTCCTACTCGTCATATTAACTGATTTTTAGAGAAAAAATCGCGCGGTTATTGTTAAAAAAACAACACGCAGTCCGTTCGACACTGCGGTACAGCCGTGACTGTCTGCGCCCCGAGCGCACCCCGAGATCGAGTCGCGTAGGTATAGCTCCCGTTTCGTCCGTTTGTATGAAGTTGCAGTACTGTATTATAATAGTACCGTGCCCGTGTTCTCTTCATGCTTATATCTCTATGATAATAATGTGTGCGTTGCCCCAGCGAAAAAAGTTCGAATTTCGTTATTTGAGCTTAACAGATATTTAGTGATGTCGTCGTGTAATTGTGTATGGTAAATAAAAATTTGTGCATCCAAACATGCGGGAGTTATTGACCAAAAACTGTTTCGGAAACAGTTTAAAATAATCTAAATATACTGCACTGCCGCTTTTTTGTAGCCATGCGAACTTGGTCGGGTTATGTAGCAATTACGGTGGTTGTCAGTATTTTAATTGTATTTCGTTAACTATTTAGTGTAAAGAAATAAAATTTTACACGTGAATAGTTGAATTAATACACTAATTATTGGAATAGGTTTTCTAACGCATTTCCTTTAGAATCTCGTGCAATAAGACTGCGTATGAAACAGTGGTCAAATAATTATATAACACAATACAGAAACCAATTTAGAGCCGATAGCCATAGATAAATTTCTATATAGCGATGTTTTAAAATTGTCCACAGTTAAAAAATAGTGCAGTAACCAGTTTAAAAAATAAAGCGTAACCTAAAAATCAAATGATAATATCTTAATATCTTTTTCTGAGGCTTTCCCAAATAAAAACTTTTTACACATCAATTAAAAAAAGCCGATTTTTTAAATATATTTTTCTCCACAAGACGCTGCATTTTTTGAGACCTAACATTTTTCTTGTGATTTTCTGTAGAATAAATGAGCATTTAAAAAAAAGCTGTTCTACATTTTGTAATTTGATTTAAATTCGCCATGTTACTTGAGAAAATGTCGTTTTTAATTCATTTTTTTTTTACATTCATTTCACGGTCGGGTGAGGGTTTGGGCCCTGGTAACCTCAGTCGTGCGGTAAAAAGCAAGGAAAGTACTGCTTAACACCGGCTTTCTGAGAAGCGCTGGTATCACTCCGGCCCAGCCTGGCCCCATTATGTGCCGAAGAATGGCTCTCCCATGATAACGGCACGGCATTTTGACGGGGCTGTCACGGCATTTTGACGGGGCTGTCACGGCATTTTGACTTGACAAACCAATTAGTGTAGCGCAAGAGTTTTCAATGGGAGGCCTTTCTTTTAACGTGTGGGACTGCGATAGGCTGATGATGATGATGACAGCCTTCAACAGCCTTACAACCAACAGTTTGGAATGTGCATGAATTGTTTAAATAAAACACAATAATTAATTTTACTTCACTTTATTGCACCTATGGAAGTACACTTCGTTGCATATTCGTTGTACTGGATCTCGATGTGACCCACAAGTTAGTTTACATTAAAGTCGACTCGGTTAAAATTACACTGGACATAAATGTCATAATTGACTTAAAAATCGAACAAATTGTTTGCTCCTGAACTTCTAAATGAGAGAGCTTTCAGACACTACAAAATGTATATCATACATAGTAACAATTATTTTAATAATATTATTATTGACACAATACTTTATTTTAGTACAAAAAACCTACCCAATCGTTCGTTTAAAAACAAGGAACTCGTTATATCTAAGTACATATTCTTACGTTAATCTTCGTATACTTTAAAAGCCTCCAAAAACGTTTCAGATTAAAGAAAATGAATAAATTTCCAAAAAAAATGTACTATTAAATCACATCATTTTGTACAAAATGCGCTTAAAACACATTTAAAATGTAACGAATGTAAGAATCATAGTTGTAAAGCAGAGGCTATATCTTACTAATTTTAGAAGTGGAGCTAACAAGGCGAGGATATCACACATCGGATCACAAATTGGATGTTTAGATATGTTTTTTCGTATTAATATTCTAAAAAATAATATGTTGACATTCTAAAAAAGTGTAACACTGGAAAAGAAACATTTTCACATACAAACAGTGGTCGCTAGAAAAATTAATGCCATATCGCTTTTATAGTTAAAATTTTGCCATTTAGTCGATTTATACATCGATACCCTCGCCTAACGATACAAGAGTTAGCAACGTCGCTTACACAATAATTTAACGTAGATCGATAATGTTTTTACTGTATTGACAATTTGAGTCAACAATTATACTTAGTTGTCGACTATACGGCGCAACAGATTTCTGGTTGGAGCTGCCTATAGGAGAACTAAACTAAAAGGAGTTGCTAACTCTAAGTATGTGTATGAGCAATAACAAAAAGGAATGTTTTTTTTTTCAGTAAAAAGCATTATCATTAATCATTAAAGAAACACATGCTCTCATACAATACCATGGTATATGCTGCTTAGCTAACCAGTTTTAATACATTATTAATAATGAGCTGAGTATTAAAATTACAGGAATATTGACACACGATCGGACGAAACAATTATTTCGTTTACTTTCTTATTCTATTACAATTCAAAACTAAGCATTACTAATTAACTTATCATCATTAACAACAACCAAAAGCATCTTAACTAATTCGTAGTAAAGTAGAATTATCAGTAATCGAACTAAGTTTATTATTATTTTGATTCATCATTTTAGCACCTCCCTATTGTATAGTGTGCGTTTAGGAATGTGTTAGTGCTAAAATAAACCTTATAATCTATGTGATAGAAAACAAAACAGAACAATCACAACGAGTATAGAGAATAGGAAGACAGAAAGGAAGCAAGAGTAGTCCTTGGGGACAAATACCTAAAGTATGCTACTAATTATTTATTGTTTAATTTCATAAAACTTAGGACGCACCTAACGAATACTGCTTCAGTGAATGCTAGGATGAGAGAAAAGTGCCTCACGATCAGGTGGATGGAACATGAAATAGTAAAATGTAGTAGTAGTCTCGGAGAAGTTTTAGTATTTTAGAATTTAGTGACAGAATAATAAATCTACTTTCCTCTTGGCACATAAGAACAAAAAAGTCATAGTCTAGTGGAGGACATAAGAACAAAAAAATGAGGCGCGGAATTCAATTCATGACCTTTGAGCAGTTAAGCTGTCAATATAAATATTATGAATACTAATATTACAGATAGGGCTTTACGAACATAGCGGGGTGTAGTACACTCAATGCGACGTGTACACAATAACAGTTCATTAAAGATACATAATTATGCTTGTTACCCATCAACATGGTATAAAAAGAATTGTAGTGAGAAAGGGAGCAGATAGAGCGAGATTGAGAATTGCAAAACTTTAACATAATTATAATTACATTAGAAGAGATTTATTTTACATATCGTTTTAAATTTCGAACAAACTCAACGTGGAATGTTAATCATTTGTAGTTCTAGTCTATTATAATGTATTTTTAAATGCTGATTGTATTCTCACGGGCCTAGTGCGTAGCCAGGACTGATTTTAGGGTAGGGTGAAACCAAATAAAGTCAATCTACATAATTAACAGAAATATTATTGGAGTATTTATTTCAGCAGTGCCCTATGAGGATTCTGGCCCAGGCTTCTTCAGGCTAGATACAGGTATTATTATTATACGTCTGTGTATGTTGCTACTAGGTACCACAGAGATCAAACAGATGAAGTGCGCGGGGCTCATTCTATCTAAGGCTACGATCTTGGTAGGAGCTGTTGAATTATATTACTTGACCTATCTGAAGTGTCCATCTAGGTTTTCATGACACGATTCTTAGTAGTAATATAGGATAAAGGTAGAATCTTGTGTTGCCACATTAAATACATAAAAATACCAAAACCATATCCATTGAATGTTAAAGCTATAGGATCTTTAGTGATATTACAAAATGTTTAAGTAATTATGGTAGAAACAAAATGTACCTAATATACACCGACAATTGTCGATTACTTATTTCATAGACATTGTAATTTTTAAGTGTTAACTATGTAAAAAATCCTTAAGCTGTAATTTATTTCATGCAATCATAACTGAAACTTACATTTTTTTTTTTAACAAAATATTCAGAAGAAAACATGCTGACCTATTTGCTTTCGTCACTGTTCAGTAAACAGTGACGTAAGCAAATGGTATTTGATATGGTGCAGTGTTCCAAAATTAAAAAACAAAACGGTATAACAGTGTAGTGGTGTGTGGTGTTGCCCCCAGATACTCGTTAATATTGTCACCTGATGTGGCGCGCGTCAGAATCGACTTGGCTTCAGTGGACGGCTGTATTGTGATGTGTTTCGTTATCTATTACATCACCTGAAAGACAAAACAGATACTTTTAAAAGTTGCTTTAGAAAAGTAAAAAGATTCTATGATGAGTAGGATCCGTCTGGGTGTAATTCATTTAAATGAGTTTATCAGCAGTCTGTATAGTACGGGCTAAATAGTCCTATATAGAACGAGCTTTGCCTAGTTTGGGATCAGATAGCCATGTGTAAACGGTTTTAAATCAAGATTAGTGTTAGGGCTCAAAAACGAATTATGAAATGGATTGAGTTTACATTACGACGTAAATATAATCAATTTAAGCATTCTTTGCGGGTAAGTCACAAGTGTGATTTTTCCCGAGATTTTAGCTTAACACCAGTTTTCTGGGAGATCGTGGTAAACCTCCGGTGGAGTCGGCTCACTTAAGCCGAAGCATGGCTCTCCCAGAGCCACCATGCTAAGTATAAGTATCGACTTCTGAGTTAAAGGAATAAGAAAACATTTATCAATAGCTCTGCGTGCCTAGCGTGTATCACGTAGTGGAGCAGCTGTGTATAAGGTGATCTGACCTGCAGTATCTGGCTGGCCTCGAAGGCCGTGCCGGGCAGCAGCACGATGGGCGCGGCGACGCGGCCCGCCTCCACACACACCATGTTGGGGAACTCGTCGTCGCCGAAGTCCGGGATCTCTTTGGCGTACTCCGACCAAGGGTTCCAAATCACTGCCGGGACAAACAATACTTTAGTCTATTGAATACCATTATCAAGTAAATTTATTGTGAAAAGTGATGATTTGTGTTCTGTATCATATTTTTGTGACATAAAGATGACAATTAACGGGGCTCAGAAGATTTATTATATTATTAATTCAAGTTTCTTTTATTAAAAAATCTGCGCAAAACGCGTCCGTCTGGATGGCAGCGGCCGGTATGAGCGGAGCGGTGCCTATAAATACTGCATATAAAGATGTCCTGTGGTATAGTCTTATCATAATAATAGTATGATTAATTACTCCACACTGACACCACATTAGTAGTATCTACATTGCACCCGTGCGAAGTATGAGATGATCGCTAGTCTCGAAAAAAAGAAACCAAAAAATCGAATCACTACCACTGTATCTCTACTCTCTAACAATAACGGGTTCCATTTCCTTCAAAATGTTTGCTATACATCCTTAACAGGATAATTATATTATATCAAATGGGACTAAAGCGTATTTTGAACTTGTTGAAGTTGTAACTTGTACAACAAAGTATGAAAACTCTGTACTACCGAAAGTCAAATTTTACGTCCTACGACAGAGCAGGTGGCATAGATAGGCCAAGTCGAGTCGGAAAGGAAGGGCTTGTCTCTTTCTTTCCTGACAGTCTATCAATATTTTTTAAACGCATAACATAATGCCCTCAGAATCTATCTCGGGCGTATATTGTGATATTATTTAGTTACACGACATACCTGTATCAGGGAAATTGTACTTTTGTATCCTCATCTTGCGACCGCTGACCACATTGGTGATGATATGCTCCTGCATTGTGTTTTGATAGATCCTGTCTGTCCACTCATTGATCGTTACCACATCTCGCGTCTCGTGGTACACAGTGCCTTCTCGTGTCTGTTAAAAAAACCTTATATTTAGATGATATTTCAATGAATTCTTTTCAATCAACAATTAGCAAATGTTGCTGTGTAATGGAGGCTTAAGCCACTTTTGGGAATTTAACATTGGGAATGTTTTAAGGGAAAACTAAAAGGTATTTAACTATTATACGGTGGATTGGCGTGTTATTTAGATATAGGAATCATGATTTCGCAATCACGCGGTGGGTGGAATTGACAAAATCCATTAGAAGGTACTATAAAAAATGCCTATCGACACAAATTTTGCTCTGCCCCCTCTAATATTGTGAAGTAAGCTCCCTGTTTTTCATGATAATCCTTACCTTATCGATGAACATACACCCGTGCATGCCAGTGATCTGACAGCGCCGGACGTCAGGCACCTTGAAATAGGTGTGGAGAAGCATCTGACAACTGAATGTCAACTCCTTGCTAGGGTTGTACACGCCTATGTTGAAGTGGAGCTCTTTTTCACGTAGTATCAGCCTGTATGTTAATCTGAACCTGGTTATAAAATAATAACTTGACTTTAAAAAGGTGAATATGAACATTATTACATATTACCTATAAAACAGTGAGCATACAATAGATAAAACCCCTTTAATTTTAGACGAAACGACATGTTGAGAATTTCAACACAAAAACATGCGTTTCTAAAAACTTTTATAACTTGTAGTTTCATATAATATATACTTACATTTTTTACACTAACATTAGTATTTAATTAAAAGTATGTTAAAACACTAATTTAGGCACTTTGTATGTTGGTGGGGGTAGTATTATTATTAAAAGTAATGTGTCTTAAATGTAATGTATGTTAGTAGTAAGTATGAACAAGTATGGTGATTTGGTGAAATTTCAATGTTTGTGACCTTAGATAACAGCTGAAATAAGTAATTTTTTCGAATACTTTTGATTAAAGCTGAGTGACTCGTGAAATTATATAACTAGAATATTTTTTCTATCTGTAAGATATTTAGCATCCATCTTCGGCATGGGGTAAAAATATCCGCCGTTTTTTGCGTTCTTTTCCAAGTGGTGATTTTAAACTCGCGAATATTATCTTGACAAGGATGTTAAAAGATGTAATGAATACTAACTGGAAGTGCCACATGGAGCGCGTGAAGTCATCATCCATAAGGCTGAAAACTGCCTCCACATCGCCGCTTGGCAGTCGATCCGGCATCTTCTCCACGTGCCAGCGGGCTATCCGCGCGAACCCATGTTGCGGACCAAACGCCCATTGTCCAAATTGAGCTGGAAAATGTAGAAAACTCTTTTGTGGTAAAGTAAATACATTTAGAATGTTTTTTTTTATTCCATACGACCATATTAACTCATTTTGTTCTGAAAAGCATTTTTAATCACGTATAATATGTGCACAATGAGTTTTGCTTGTAGGGTTGGCGTAATAAGGATCTTGATACTAATATTTTTTGTTATGTTACACATAAGTCAAATTAGTTACCTTTTATCATCTGTCAAAATTATAATTTTGTATGAAAATTTACTAAATAGCAACTTATGACGTCACTATTTTAGGCTACTCATTTGAAGTATATATTTCAATGCTTATTTGATTTAAATTCGTAATAAGCTAAAATAGTTATATTTTTTGATATTTGTTTTAATGTAGTGGACATTGTTATTTATTTATGATATATTCAACTACTCTATTGTGATGTTTTGAAATCTAAAACACACTTATCTTTAACCTACAGAATGAACAGGGATATCCCAACAATAGATATGGTACACTGAAATTTATATGACGTATTTATGCTTTAAGCGTTAGAAGATATACTATAAACTTACGGAACACGAATGGTATTCCTCCTCGTATCGCTCTCTTGCCGTCGAATACTGCTTGTTTACTGCAAAACAAAAGAAAGTTACATTCAGTACGTGTGCAAATGATCCCAGTTCTGTATTTGTACCAAGTACACCTTTAAAGAAAAATGTAAAAATTTTGAATATGGAAGCAGCGTTACGTTTATGGCCAAATAAAATCTTTAGTTCATCTAAACTAAGAAGTACCGTTTGACAGTTATGATAGATTTTAAGATTTTTAATGGTTATTGCACAATTGAAAAAATATTTCTCATCTTTTCCAACCCATTGTTGTGTTTTGTAATAATATTCCAGGAATAACCTTATGGAGATTTGACAGGCCTGTTGGTGCCCCTGACTGCTAAATAGGAGGTCGTGGGTTCGATTCCCACCCAGGACAAACATTGTGTGAAGAGCACGGTGATTTGTTCTATGTCTGGGTGTAATTTATCTATAATATGTATCTATTTAAAAATATATAAGTATGTTTATCAGCAGTCTGGTTACCATAGTACAGGCTCTGCCTAGTTTGGGATCAGACTTCCGTGTGTGAGATATATATTTTCGCTGGTTCTCGCACAGTTAGTATCCGACCAAATGTTTATAAGCAAAATCATTTGGAATCTGCTATAAAACTTCATTAGACAAGACTATCGCTACTTATCCTTAATCTGATTCCTTTTATAAAAAAGAATGACATTTTCAATGACTTATTTCTCATTGCTTAAGTTTTCATTCCTCTGTAGGTAATTGATTCATGATTGATCACTACGCAGACATTTTTATCAATTCAACCACCAATACATTTATTTATCTACCCTTATACATACGTATAGTTAACGCTATTTGAGAATAAAGGCTATTTAACTTTTAAATATCACTTGATTTTAATACGTCATCACAATTTTATTTACTTACTTTTAGTGTACATGGTTACTTAATGTAGATCACTTTTGTTCCAGAACAGATCATATTTTTTTATAATATAACCAATATAACCAGATTTCCACGCAAGTTGCTAGCTTAGTTCAACTCAGTTCAGTGACATCAACAGCCTATCGCAGTCTCTGGACATATAGGCCTCCCCAAGTCCTAACTTAGTTGCCGAGAACAAATCGTATTGGTACAATTTGTACAGGTAAGTATAAGAAAATTATATATTGATGTACCAGAGGCATTTCAGGCCTCCGGTACATCAATTTAGTCCGGGTGATATCTGAATCGTAAAGTTTCAGTCTGACTAAAGAATGGTATTACACATTCAAAATTACCATTGTTTTCAATGTAGAATTACACCGTGATAGTTTAGGTATTTCATTGATTAACTAAAATGCTTCAGGACAACAGTTAAACAATTCTAAAATGAATTTTATAATTATGAACCCAATTAATTATGCTTTTCTTGTACTTATGATTGTCAGTTACAAAAGAGAACAATACAGAATTAGAGGAAAAAACTATACGTGTGACATCTGTTTTATATTTTTGTATCACCTTTAATTATAAAAGTATAAGTAATAAGCTTACTATTAATTCAGTTAACATTGTAATTATCGAGACAAATGACTAGGAACTGGTAAGTTTGAAAGTTCAACGCAGAAAAAATGCATACTGATGTGATGTCAACAATTCGCATATAAATTGTAGGCAATCGATTATACATTTAGCCAAGCCCCTTATAATACAATTGCTTATGATTATTGTCAACAGTTTTATATGGACTTGAAAACTAGATGAACTGGTCTAATTCTGTTGTGTTGAAATCACTGTAGTTTCTATTATTTATAAAGAAACGTATTTCTAAGTCATATAAATATCATTGACTATTGTTACACCTAATAAATTGTCTGCCTCTTCCAAAGTCCAGCTATATAACCTTCTCGGTTTTCAAATAAACTTAATAATAACTTAACAGAAACTTTACGTCCGTTCCTGATTTTCGACGCGGAAAAACAACAACTAAGGAACAAAGAGCGAACTTCCAAGTTCATAATTGCTAATGAAAATATTTGTACCGAGGTATTATTCTTAAAGATTCAAAGGGTTCTTTTCATTATCTTTCGTACATTGAGTTCTTTGTACCATATTATTTACCATAATTGTGCTTAGAGTGGTTTAATATGTTCGATACCTATCTATAACTAATAGTATAGTACCTACACGTTTCTTGCGATATATCGTACAATACACGTAGATATTATTCGCATGGATTAGACGGAACCGCAACAGTTTAACCTAACCGCATGAACCATCAGCATTACTCCTTCAGCTCACGTTTGAAACATGATCAATTTTAGCGGTTGCATTCCAGCGACAGCGGGGGACGATGCAAAAAGCACCCTTATATTATAAATGCATCAGTGGACAGGTCGGACGCGACAAAAACGGAGCTTCGAGCAAGCCACGTATAAATTATTTATGCCATTTTTAGCATTTCGGAGTTTGTGAAGCGAGCGGACGCCGCATGATGACTACGACGGGTGGACGGCTTATCATCGGGCACGATGCATAAGCACTTTTAGCCATCGTTCTTATTGCCGACAAAAGTTGAACATGTTATGTCAAAACTGCTAAATTTCGATGTAGATTCAAATTGAAAGTACAAATAAGACATTTAACCCGAAATAAATGTTCTCTCTTTTTTTAAACTTAAAATAATTTAAATAAAGTGATAACTCTTAGTGTTTGCCATAGGAATTCTGAGCGAGACGTTCAAACGAATTAGTGTAAACGGAAATTAGCTACGGAGTAATCGATTCGAGAAATTTAATACATAAATCAACGCTCCCACGTTAACATAGAACGGGTGCCGATATTTCACACAGGTAATCTACAGAGTAGAATGTACCTCGGTTTCGAATCACCTACTCACACGAACTTTATGAATATGGATACTTCTCATAACAAGTTATAAAAAAATGAACTACACTTAACCATAAACCGTCATGAAATACGATAATTGTCACACGGATATTAATAAACGCCTCGATTATAATGGTAGCAGCCACACCACCTTTAATACAAGCCATGTATAGACTCTTAACCCTACAGATGCAGACCGGTGCACATTTAACATTCATCCAAGAACTAGATGTTACCGTTTATTACCTTACAATGTCTTTACCATAATTGAGTTTTAACATTGATAATACCAAACGGTAAATGGTTCTGTTCATTAAAATGGACCTCAATCAAATAACAAAGTGTAATAGAATGGGTAAGCGATCTAAATAGGTGCAGGTGATGCCTTTAATTTAAAATGTTTTGGTAACTAGTCTCCACTTCAAAATTGCAATACAATTGTACGTTTTCTGCGAAATAGCGAAGGAACCTAGATAAAGTTTTAATTAGAGATTCCGGATGAAATTCCTCCATGAGTCGCCGGGAACCGATACATTCCAGCTTCGGCATCAGGCGAGTTTTTACCATCACGCAAACTCGTTCCACGCCGTTCTCGTCCAGATAAATAGCAACAATAAATATACCATCGGAGTCAATTGGTCTCTCTATACAACAGCTACATTGAAATTCTCAAGTTTGTGTGATTTTTAACTAATTAAGTGTAATTATTTGTAATTGTCCTTAAAAATCAACGCGTTTGCTCATCGCTGTATCTAGATTTATCATGAGATTATTTTTTGCTATATAGAAGGAGTCAAATTTACATACAGCTTAAGATTTAGTTAATAGATAGTTTTTAATAACAGTAAGCAAAAGTTAGGTAGTTGATGTGTTGTTGCAGCACATTGTAAATGATGACAGTTTTATCTCACACTAGAGGGTCTGATATACCTATTAATTTAAATGTAATGAAAGAACAGCGTTCAATTTTTTCTCATTTTTTTAATTCATTCAATCCATTGAAATTCTCAAGTTTGTGTGATTTTTAACTAATTAAGTGTAATTATTTGTAATTGTCCTTAAAAATCAACACGTTTGCTCATCGCTGTATCTAGATTTATCATGAGATTATTTTTTGCTATATAGAAGGAGTCAAATTTACATACAGCTTAAGATTTAGTTAATAGATAGTTTTTAATAACAGTAAGCAAAAGTTAGGTAGTTGATGTGTTGTTGCAGCACATTGTAAATGATGACAGTTTTATCTCACACTAGAGGGCCTGATATACCTATTAATTTAAATGTAATGAAAGAACAGCGTTCAATTTGTTCTCATTTTTTAATTCATTCAATCCAATTATTAAAATAAACAAGAAATTACTCAAATCTGTTTCGGCCTTCTCAAGTTACCAGTTACCCTCGAACTGCATTTTCATTTAAATGGATATTTAAAACATCTATTGACACAATACACGCATTTTCGGCAAAATGCTGCATAGAAATGACGCTCTTTCATCGCAAAGGAAAAAATGTTATTCAATGAAGCATTGGGGCACGTAATCACTAGTGAACTGATCCCAATATTGTGGAAAAAGCATTATGATCCGCGAGTTTCTCGCGGCTAGATATCTTATTCATTGTTCATGCGACTTTCGTGTGAGTATTGATCACAGTAGATCGCTGGATTTCTCAACATTGTTGTGTTTGCTAAGGATTCCCATCTCGATTCGATTTTATCGAAGAACGATCATCGATTTTTAATCACGGGATTGGTTTGAAGATTAAACCATTGCACATCAATCATCAAGCTTTCGAAAACTTTACTTTTACCGGAAATTGGAAAGTGGGTTGTGTTTCTATCATTGTCTTATAATAAATTGTACAATAAGATGTATTAGCAGAGATTCTTAGATATTGATTATATTTAATTCAAAACTTTTGAAAACAATTCTCAGAGTTAAATCATTAACCAATCTTTAAAATTGTATATTATCCTAAGATCGGAAACTATCGACTTTACAAGGCGGGCGACGGTACTTTTCCACCGCCTGCTCGGTTAATATTAAGTGAATAAGTAAAACCTATATGAAGTGCTACCTAGTGATTGACAGAAGTGTTTCATTGAAATATTAAGCGAAGACAGTAAATTGGTTTGGAAATTAACAGGGCTCCTTGTATGAACAAATTAAAGGTCACACGGACG